CTGACTTGATTCACTTGTAGAGTTTATGTACACTAGAGGTTTGTTTGTTTTGGACTGGATTTGAGGAAGATTCAAACATATGCCTTGAGAAACAGTTTAGGTGAGATAACTCAGTTCCATTATATACATTTTGACTGTAACGATAACTCTTGGGGTCGGTCAGGACTCCTGCATTCCAGTACAGGTTCTGCACTCCCCAGTCTTCTAATTAGAAATCACTTTCTCTACGGAGGCTAATGTATATCATCCTCAGATTTGAAAGTGTTTTTTTTTTTCCTCTGACTCTCAGACTAACAGCCAGTTACTTCAGGTATTTGAAAGATTTTAACATCAATCATATTTTGTGTGTTACTGTAAGTAGAGTACATTCATCCACAGACTCCATATGAGCGAGTGAAACCCAACCAGCACTGGTAATGGTCATGCTCATTTTATATACCATATAAATTGTACCTTAATGACAAGATCCAAATCCCAATTCAGCTCTGGGTTCCCACTGGCCCAGGGCAGTGTCTCACTTAGAAAGGGTGCTCAAGGCAAGTTCATTTGTAAACATGAAAAATGAGTCACTTCCCCAGTAGAGTATTTTTTTCTCTCAACCAAAAAATATAGGGTGTTAAATCAGTATTTTTTATGCTCCCTTACAGCTTCCACATTCTAGGATTATAGAGCTAAGATACAAAGAAAAGAGAAATTCTTTTGGGTATAATATCAGCTCTAATTTAAAGTTCTGCTTGAATTTGCCATTAAGTCTTGACATGATTCAGAACTTCAGCCCTACCAGATCACTCCACACCTGCGTAAACAGCCAAAGTGAATTGCCAATGTACCAGGTAATGTACTTTGATAAGTGAAGGTCAGGAGGCAGCACTAAGCTACATGTCCAGCTTCAATAACGGAGAAAAACACTATTACTTTATACTTTCTAGGCAAACACACAGCTGGACAGGCTATTACAGAAAATAGTCCTCTATCTGGAATTCATAATGCTTGCAAAAGGTGGTTTCTAAAACTTCAGAACTGATTTCCTTACCAATTACGGCTCCTTCTCTTCTGACTGCCTCACTGCCAACATCCAATCCATGCAGTTAAAGCAAGCTCCCCGAGGCAGATGCAAGTGGCATCTCTGACTATGTAGTGTCACACTGGGAAAGCCGTTCTAGAGCATTCCTTATCACTGGCACACAACTAAACTTCTCATTGATCTTATCTCTGCCTTACAAGGATGAGTGTCTCAGGCAGAAAAGTACAATTGGTAAAGTCAAGATGGTGGAAGGTAAACTTAGATTCTGAAGACACAACACACCCATGCACATCAGACTTACTTGGTGTCAAGAAACAAGAATGTTTTGTCCACCTGAGCCACAGACTTTTGAACACAGCCGTTGTCTTTCAGTGTATGTTTTACTTTCTATTATCATGTAGACACTCATCAGAAACAGAAGTGCAAGCAGCAAGAATACTTCCTTCCAAAGGCATTCACGTAATTCTCATTCGCGTTCTGTAACAAACCAACCCACCATCTCAACTTTTCCCCAGTGAGCCTTCTCTGTTGCTGCATTTTATTATCAAGCAAGTTGGACTTGTGAAACAGGCAGTGTGGCATGGGGTGGGGAGGACAGGAGCTGAGGAGTCAGGCAGTCCTGGATTCTGGCCCCAGCAATATCACATGCAAGCTATGTGGCCTGGGGCAAACCAATGAAGTTCTGGGAGCTTCCATTTTCTCAACTATAAAATGGAGATAATATCACCTGCTTCACAAAGATGCTGCGGATAAATAACATACCCTATACAAAGCATCTGGCATGTAGCAATTGGTCTCTCTCTACACATATATAATTGCTATATATGTGTATGTGTACATGTATTATATTACATTGTGTGCACATATATTTGTATTTTTATAAGCTTACAGTAAGCTATCTTTCATGCAGTTGGCCAGTCATGACAAACAAAAAGTCACAACACAAAAATGATGGCAATAAATATTGTCACACAAAAAGGGAGATATTTGAAAGAAGAGCGTTAAAAGACACAATACATAGAACACTTTACTCGGATTACTACTCTTTAACTGCAATATGTGGGCATGTCACTAACTTGCCCACCTCACCCAGTAGTGTTCTGAATACCCTGCCACGTGCACCCAGGCTTCAGTATCTGGTGTTCATCATGTTTGCATGGCCAAGGATCCCACTGGGATAAATACTTCCTGGAACAGTATATGAGATCATCATTTTACACATTAACAAAGCCTGTCCTGTGGACTTGGGCATGCAGAGTAAGAATGTGAAAGACAAAAGGCATTTCCTCCCCACCCTGGATGGGGATTATAACATAATCCCTGATGATTTCTAGTACACCCTCCAGTCACCCTTCAGGATGAAGGGCTCAACCTCATGCCATTCCATGAATTTAACTGAAGCCTTTTTAGCATAGCTAGCAGAAAAATAAGGAATCCTATATTGGTTATCACTTTGAGACTGCTCCTAAGCCCGACTATAAATTTTATTTTATTTTTTAACAGCCAAGCATAAATTGTCAGGTCTTTAGTTGCAAATCCAGTCACGATGCTTAGGTTCAGTTGAGTTTGATGACTTTAATTTTGGTTTTTGAGTCAGGGTCTCGCTCTGTCACTCAGGCTGCAGTGCCGTGGCACAGTCGCAGCTCACAGCAACCTCAACATCCTGGGCTCAAGCCATCCTCCCACCTCAGCCTCCTGAGTAGCTGGGAATACAGACGCACACAACCACACTCACCTAATTTTTTAATCTTTTTGTGGAGATGAGGTTTCACTATGTTGCCCAGGCAGATCTCAAACTCCTGGACTCACGCAATCCTCCCCCTTTGGCCTCTTAAAATGCTGCGATTACAGGCGTGAGCCAGGGTCCCTAGCCCGATGATTGAAGAAAAGGAGCTGGGCCTTTTCTCAGTTAGGTTAAAGCAAACTACACTTTGATTACATCAAGACCTTTGTTTAATTACGTACCTTATGCTGAAAGGTAAAATAAATGGAGTATTGCACAATGACTTAAGATTTAATCTGGAAATTGACTCTATGAGGCATATAATAATCAGATGTGTTGGAAGCACCCAACACATAGTAGTGGATCTAAGAACGTGAAAAAAGAAACGATAATAGTTGTCAGTCTGCTGATACTAGGATCAATGTTCCCATGGACCTAGATGTGTTTTTCTCCACACCAAGACTGTCAATCCAGGTTCACTGTCCCAAGAGATTCCCCCGCTACTGCTTACCACCCACCACACTTGTTTCAAAGATATAAACCTTGACCATGCCATTATAATAAATGGGCAGAAAAGAGTTTCTGAAGGGAGACTGGGACTTGCCTCATTATAAATGCTAGCACTAACAAACTTTTCTTTAGTCTCTCTCTTCCTCTTAAAACACACACACAAGGAACCAGAGTGTCTCTGTAGGATGAATTCCCAGTCCATAGCAACTGCAATGCCCTGAGATCTGAGCAGTTCTTGGCTGGCCAGGCGTTAAGCCTTTTTGGGGAAGGAGACAGCAAGCCTGCTTTTCCCTTACACAGCCCTGCCATGAAAACAAGCTCTTGTTTTCTGTTTTTGTTTGGTTTTTAGCTAAGAATCACCATCCTCCCTGCAGGGATAAAATATAGGCAAAGGAAGCTCAAGGGTATGATCTCAAATTTTCTTCCACCTAACTTGCCCCTTCACCCCAATATCTGGAAATAAAGGGAGATAATTTGGGGAAAGTTGAGGGTAAGTTTTTGGTCAAGGGTGGTTTCAGGCTTCACCAGATACGTGGAGAAGGATATGTAGGGCACACCCCAGATGTGGATGCAGTTTGGGCGATGAGGGAGACTGCACCACCCTGCAGTGTCACCTGCCTAGGCACAGGTAAACCAGGGATCGGAAAGACTGGAGGGAATTAACCTTCTCCCTCCCCCCATTCGAGTGCCAGCGCGCTGGCAGGCTCCTCCAAAGCGCCGGAGCGTGGGTCTGACGGTTCTATTTCGGCATGCAGAACCTGAGACCCCACCCGAGCCAAGCGGGGAGAGAGGAGGGTAAAGCGATGGAGGAGGGGGCAGCTTGCGCCTGGCTGGGGAAAGCTCCGCGCGGCAGCACCCGGAGGTCCGGTGGCCGGCGCGCACTGGTACCAGTCTCTCCACTGCGGTAGCATCCCGACATGACATTGCAGCTGCAACAAAGCGCCGGCCTCCGCCGACCCTCGGAGCCCCACACCGCGGCCCTGGCCCCACACCACGCAGAGGGGCAGTGGCCGTGGGCGGGGGCCTGTGGCTGCCGGTGCGGGGGGCGCGAGGTAGGGGAAAAAGCCCTCAAATGCGCAGAAGCCGGGCGGCCACCTAGCGCCTCCTCCCGCAAAGCCAGACTGCAGGGAAAACAATTGCTCTTCATTCCCGAGCCCCGGCGGAGCCCTGCGATTCCCCCCAATAACCTGGTCGGGGCCCTGCGGTGAGCTGCCTTCCCTGACAAGTCCCTCAGTCCCCGCAACCCAGCCGGCCCTGCCCCGCGCCTCCCGAAGCCCGGGCCCGGAGACCCGCCCGGCTCCGGCAAAGCGGCTCCTTCAGCCCCGGCGCGGCCGCCACCCCCGGGCTCCCCAAGCGCTCACCAGGAGAAGGGAGCCCGCGATCATTGTGGCTCTGACTCGGCGGGCGAAGCGGCTGCCGGAGGCGAGGGCGGTGCTGCTGCTCGCAGAGGTCCCCATGGCTGAGCCGGGGACTCGCAGGGGCGCCCGGGGCGCGCGGCCCCACGGCAGCTGGAATCGGCGGCTGCTTCTGCCCAGCGCCGCATCACCCGCCGCCTCCCGGCCGGGAGCCCATCTACCTCCAACACCCCATGTGCACTGCTGCAGCCGGGCCGAGGAGGGAGGCGGCGAGGAGACTCTAGGGGCGCTCAGCACCTGCCCAGCGGCGCGGCCGCCCAGGCGGGGAGAAGCCGCCGCGACTGCAGCCCGCGCCTCCGGGTGCTCTCCTCAGACAGCGGCTGCGGAGAACCAGGGAGGAGGACTGGGCGCGCGAGCGCGAAGGAACAACTTCCCATAGCGAAGCTTCCAGCCGCTGCCAACCACCCTCCTCCGCTGCCCAAACTGGCCGGCTAGGGACTGAGTCGGTGGCCACCGGGCGCGGGGACACACGTGGTGGCGCCGAAGGGGCGGGGGACCGGCCCTTTGTGATGTCACCCGGGAGGAGGCCGGGCTCTTTGTGCGGTTGGAAACGGGAAGGCGTTCCAGGTAGAGCGGGGAGGGAGACGGTGACCCCTGGCGTTCGCTAAGGAAATTGCACCCGCCTGTTGACAGGGAAAGCGCTCAGAGAGCATCACACCCTTTAGATCTAACTTTGCTTCTTCTTTCCAAGATAATTCCAACTAAATTATTTCTACTGCAGACGCCTCTCGATGGTTTCGGACACGATGATTAAATCAGAGAGCGAAGGTGGATGTAGACCATAGAGCACTTAGATGAACTGCCTGACAAGAAAAAGAGGCCTGTGCGTTGCTTCTCAAACTTTGCTGCACTGTGGAATCGCCTGGAGAGTTGAAAACGTGTATATTGATTCCTGGGCCTCAACTCTGGAGACTCTGATTTCATTGGAACAGGACATGACTTGGCCTGGGGATTGAGGTTTGTTGTTGTCGTTTGCTTATGCTTTAAGTTTTCAAGATGATTTTAATATGGGGCAAAGTTTGAGAACCTCTGGGCTTATTAATGCAATTAAGGAAATCTAAACTAAAAGTTAGATTCCAAACCCAGAGTCACTGGTGTTGGGTCCGTGGTTAGTCTTGGAGAGAGTTTTGAACTCCTTGAAATGTGACAAAAGACGCATTTTCCTAATTTAAAAATCAAGTATTTTGAATGGGATTATCACTGAGATTATTTTTTTTAATCACCCTTCCCCCAAAAAATAATGCTAAAAATTTTTGAGTTGACTTCCAAAGGCCTTGTCAGGATGCAGATGGTAGAAGTGGTAGCACTCTGCTTCAGAAGAACTGGAGTTTTCTCGTGGATGCTGGCATCTCACACACTTACGAATGTGAGAGAGCACCCGTTATCCCTTTCTTTGTTTCACCTGGGGAAAGGACGAGTCTCCTGACTGTGGCCACCATTTCTGGTATCCTGTTATCCATCATCTAGGTACTGACAGCACATGGCACACTGTATTGACATTACCTCTTCAGCCATCTGGTCCACACCCCTCAATTGGGAGCCCTATGGTGCTGAGCTTATCCTAGCCTTCTTTGATCCCTTCTGCTTCAAAAGAAGTTCACTTTTTAAACTATCAGCTTCAAGATCCAACACCCAGTGCTTCTGAAGGAAACCTGCTAAGTCATAAGTACCTACTCTTTCCTTTATTAGTTAACATGTTGTCCTTTGGTTCTTTGTTCTATGCACACTTTGGAAGAAGCTAAAATTAATATGAGGGTTAATTCCAATCTATCATTTCAAACATCGGTCAGTATTGTCTGTAAATGTTAGAGTGGGAAAAAAGCTACAGTATATAACCTCTAGTGAAATTCAAAGAAGTTCTAGAAAATATTACCACTAAATATGGAGTTTTGGGGAGACGATGATGGTTGGACTTGCAACTCTCTAGCTATTTTCAGAAGTTGAAAGAGTGAGGGATATGTGCTGTGTTTTCATGCATAACAGTGTCAACTTTTTCTTCAAAGATTTAAATGACTGGTCAATACTAAGGTTGGGTTTTTGTTTTTTTTTTAAAGAAGTTACATAGGCATTAAAGAGGAGGGGAAGTTTCAAATACATTTTTATTTAGTCCATTTTACTCCTTGCATCCAAACTCACATTTTTCATGGTAATATCTGATTGATTTGCCCTGAAGACCTGGGCTAAACTTGAGTTTAGTGTCTGGGTTACTATGCAGGTATAAGAAGTTCTCAATTATCTGTCTTCCTAAAACTAAAAAAAAAAAACTTTTGCTTGTGCTTGGACCACTTTTAAACTTCATGAATTCTTGGTGTTGCACTAATCACATCAAGTTGAAATTTAATATGCATTTTGAGAAATGAAAATATTTACTCCATTCTGTTTACTACTAACATTTAAATACATGTCCCTCTATAAAGTGACAGATTATAGATAATCTGAATTTAGATACAGTGTGAGATTTCATTACTTTGAGCTGAAATGTATAAATGGCTTCCATTTTGAAGTAACAAAGCTGCAACCATTAAATAACTCACTGCCACATTTTCAATATGGCAACTTAGACATGTTTGTTTCCCAGGAAAAGATAAAAATGCAATGATACATAAGGAAGTTTCTTCCCAAGTTCCAAGGAAAGAAAAGATATGTGCTGATAAATCATAATTATAGCTAAATTTAAAGTAAGGCCTAAATGAGCTAATCCAGTCTCATTGTTGCCATAAAAATTACTCTGTCTCCACCCTCCATCCTAACTTTGGACTTTCTTTCTGCCAATGTTGTACAATTTTCCTAGTTTTCCAACTTCAAAAATCATTGCTAATTCTTTACTCATCCTTAGTATATTTCCAATTAACCTGCTCTTCTATCCTTTTTTTTTTTTTTTTTTTTTTTTTTCTTTTTTTTTTTTTAAAAACCTGATATACACATCCGGATACTGAAGAAATCACCAGAATTACCATCTTGCCTTATTTTTTTTTTTTAATTTATCCTGCACACGTTTGGAAGTTCTAGTAAAATTTCATTTTTTTAAAATCTAAGTACCCACTCTACATAATGAAAATAACAGTTGTCCACATTCTGAGAAGTGACTGCTGCATGGCCAACATTCTGAACCAGTCTATGAAGGAATGACAGAAAGTTGACAGGAAAAGGTGTGAGCATAGAAAAGATGCAGGAATTATCTGAAGCCAAGCTTAAAGGGAAGAACTTAAAATATGTCTAAGCAAGGCTGGATGCAGTGGCTCACGCCTGTAATCCCAGCATGTTGGGAGGTCAGGAGTTCAAGACCAGTCTGGCCAACATGGTGAAACCCTGTCTCTACTGAAAAAGAACCTGCTGTTCTTTGGCCTAAAAAGGAACATCAGCCAGTCAGCAACAGATTGCAAGATTAAGTGCATGAGCATAAGATTAATCAAATCTCCATGGTGACATGCTACAAAGACAACACTTTTGGATAAGATCAAATGGGGATATAATTACAAAGTAGGTATGGTTCCAGAAGCTTCCTTCTCTCTTGGATAAGAAAGGAATAATTTGAAAACTAAGATGGCCAGTCCCTTGAGGATAAGATACCTCTGTCCCACTCCCAAGAACAGTGGGGCAATTTATTTCCCTTTTCTTAGGAAAGAACCTGCAAAAGGTAAAGCTCTATGGAAAAGGGAACTCATCTGGAAATACCCATTCCCCACGTGCTTAGGAGTCCACACGTGCAATGTTTTCATTTTGCTGTAAACTTTTCTCCCAATCCTAAATCATTTCTCCCTTATTGCAAGAGTTGGTGTGAAAATAGACCTTGTTCTTTACCCTTCCATGCTCTTGCTAAAAGAAATTTTAACAGTTTACTCAAAAGGCAGTGAGCTTGGGGAGCCACCAGATATTGGATCAAATCTTCATTATACTACTTATTAACTGTGTAAATTTAAGCAAGTATCTTAATTTTTTGCATCTTTTCACTTGTAAGACAGTTAAAAAACTATCTCATAGTGGGGATATGAGGAATAAATGAGACAAAATCTGTAAAATTTCCAGCACAGGGCTTGTTCCTTAGTATTTACTCAATAAATTAACTTCCTTTCCGGAATCCCTTTTTGAAAGGATAGTCTTTTATAAACTACTCTGGTTCGAGTAGAAACATTGGGTTGGAAAGTTTGAGATTCTTCAGACACATTAGAATTTAGAGTTAAGATGGATAGAAAAATTGCTTACTCAGATATTGATGCAATGTGATGTCATAAAAGGTATAATAGCCAGGCGATCTGACTTCTGGTCTTGGCTCTGGCATTAACCAGAGGTGTGATTTTGGACAAGTCACTGCACTTCACTGTATCTGCTTGGAATTTTAAGCTTCCTCATGTGAAAAATGGTAAATGTGGACTTAATGATCTTTTATGATTCTTTTTCTGTCACTGAAGTGCTAGGATACTAATTGGATCATGTGGCATATTTCTCTTGGTTATGGGAATTGTGGGCTGTTTGAAGTAGGAAAAGAGTGGATTGAAGAAGGAATTATTTGGGAAGTGGGAGGTCCAGGCAGATGCTTTGACGTGTAGAAGGATCATGGAACATAATTAGCTTCTGTTCAGGAGTTGTTTGTCCAGTTCAGGATTTATCAAGTCATTGGCATCTCCAACGTTTTTATTTGTTATCTCTCTCTGACTGGTCTCTTTCATCTGCTCAATCACCAAGTAGTTACTGAGGGCTTGCTTTGGCCCAGTGCTGTGCTAAGAGGCAGAGTTGCAAACAGAATATCAGGCAAGATCTCCGCCTTCCAGAAGCTTTCAACAAAACCAGATTGATGAGATTAACACACAAGAAAGCATACAGTGCAGACCCATATTTAGGACCAAGATATGTGGCCCAAGTTATACACGTATAGAAGGACAAAAAAAGATTATTGAGGGTTGGAGTACTTAGGGAAGGCAGAATTGGTTATTCTTGAACGTGGGAAAATTTTGTATGGGAAGAAAACAGTTGAGTTTCTGAGCCAATGAAGCAAAATCAGCAAAGCTGCAGAAACAAGCAAGAGATGACATTGCTATTTGACACTCTTAGATGTCTCCCATCTAACCAAACACAGTGCCCTTTTCTCTGTCCTTCAGCCCTGTTGAGCCTGATGTGTATTATCATGGTTTCTTATCTATCTACCTCTATCTGCTTTTCTAGTTCATTATCCCTTCTCCTCTTGTCACATCACTTGCTCCAGAGCCATGCTACAAGTCCTCTCTCTGTGGCCTATGACTCCTATCTTACAAGGTTCATCCAGTTTGGCATAATCCTGCCTTTACTTGCTCCGATCTTAACCTGTGAACATTCAGGCTTGTTAAGTCTTGTCTACACTAAAAGAACTCCATGCTATTTAATTCAAATTGGTCCTCACTGCTCAGTGACAATCAAGCATCTTTTTTTTCTTTCCTTGAGATGGAATCTCACTCTGTTTCCCAGGCTAGAGTGCAATGGTGCAATCTCAGCTCACTGCAACCTCTGCCTCCCGGATTCAAGCAATTCTCCTGCCTCAGCCTCCAGAGGAGCTGGGATAGGCATGCGCCACCACACCTGGCTAATTTTTGTGTTTTTAGTAGAGACGGGGTTTTACCAAGTTGGCCAGGCCAATCTTGAACTCCTGACCTTAAGAGATCTACCCACCTCAGCCTTCCAAAGTGCTGGGATTACAGGCATGAACCACTGTGCCTGGCCACAATCAAGCTTTTGTCTTTCACTTCTCATGGCACTCTGCATGGTGATTGCCCCAACCGCTCTTTCTGTTTTTGTCAACTCTTCTGCCCACCCTCCTTGGCCCTTTCACTCTCATCAAATAATCTTGATGATCATCATTCTGTAATATAAGCTCCCTCCACTTCCTTCTTTACGAGTTTAAGTAGGCTGGTCGTGGTGGCTCATGCCTGTAAACCCCAGCTTGGGAGCCCGAAGTAAGCGAACTGGGCTTGAGGCCAGGAGTTCAAGGCCAGTCTGGACAACATGGTGAAACACCATTTCTACTAAAAATACAAAAATTAGCCGGGTGTGGTGCATGCCTGTAATCCCAGCTTCTTGAGAGGCTGAGGCACAAGAATTGCTTGAAATCAGGAGGTGGGGGTTGCAGTAAACCAAGATTACACCACTGCACTCCAGATTGGGCAACAGAGCATAACTCTGTGTCAAAAAAAACAACAACAACAAAACTTCCAAACAACAGCAACAACAAGAACAACAAAAAGGAACTCTTAAATGTTTATCTTTCCTCTCCTTTTCTTTTTTTACTTCTGTTTTAATGATTGAAGCACCAGTCCTTCTTGCCAAGGCTGATGTTTTTTTCCTATGATCTTGAGTTCACTGGTCTTGCCTCCTCTAAAATTGTACGTCTTTTTTCCCTTGCATCTTGAAAATCTCTCTTTTCTGTTTTTCCCCATACCTACGATGTCCAGGTATCTTCATCCTTAAATACATAAATAAATAAACATGTAAACAAATCAAAGTGTAAGACCCCTTACTCTTTACCCTGCAACCTCTTCAAGTTATTCCTTGGTCTTTCCTCTTCTTTTTTGCAACCAACTTTTTGAAAAAGTAACTGTTTTCTTCCAAGTCAGTTTTCTTATCTTTCTTGAGTTTGGTTTTCCTCTCAGCAAACCACAGTTCCACGCCCCCTCCCACACCCCATCACATCCCCAGTGCTCCTGCTCCACAGATCCTTCAGCATTTGTGCTGCTGAATACATCTTGCCTCCTGAGTATGCGTTGCCATCTATTGGCTT